AAAGTGAAGGTTTATTGCATAGCCCACCCTTTCCACTTTCCAAGTGAGATGAGATAACTAGTGATTCTAGGTATTGGAGATCAAGAGAGAGAAGAAGACAAGAAGGGAGGGGAGAAGAGCACAGGGTGAGCAGTAGAAGGAAGGGGAGAAGAAGACAAGAGGAAAGAAGAAAGGAGTGGAGAACAAGAGGAGAAAAGAAGGGGTGGGGTAGAGGAAATGAGATGAGTAGGTGGACAGGACAGGAGGAAAGAATAGAGAAGGGTAGGACAGGAGGAGAGAAAAAGGAACAGAGGAGAGAACAGGAAGAGAGAAGAAGGGAGATGAAGAGCATAGAGAACAAGAGAGAGGACAAATGGATGAGAAGAGAGAAGAAAACAGAAGAGGGGAGGTAAGAAAAAACACAGGGAAGCAAGAAGATAAACAGATAGGAGAGAAAAGTGGAAGAGAGGGAAGGAAAGAAGAGGGGAGGGAAGGAGGATGATATTAAAAGGGTTGTTCCTTCGGTGCACAGCACACAGAGCTCCGATTTGCCAAATATGATGTATTGAAGAACTTGTCAAACAGAACAAACAGGCCCAGCAGGGGTGCCCACTCAACCAGGACACTTACAACAGTTAGAACAGAGTCAGCGGTCTTTGGATCCAAGCTGCAGACAGCACCTGTCATGAGAGGAGTGATGTCCTGAAGAGGGAGACACAGTACTCTTTCCCTTCCCTACCGGAAACTCTCCTTATTGCTAGTGCTGTCTTTGACAGATGGGTATCCTGTCCCTACACTAGTCACTTGCATAAAGTGTGCCAAAACTCAGGGGCAGGGACTTAAAAAGACTCTGCATGATCCAAGATGGCCACCAGAGTCACCTGGATCCAGCATATCCAACCGGAATGCTGCGTCAGGGGCACAGGGAAACCCAGTTTCTCCTGAATTCCTTCTCCAGTTGCATTGCAGAGGAAAACCAACTGCAGTGGATACTGAAGACTGCACCTGCCTACACTCCCCCTTCTTTATCCTTGGCATCAAACAAAAAACACAGAACGTTATAAAAGCAGCATTAAAACAGTTACTAATACAAGAAAAAATTCAAACAACAAAATTAGAATACTTTGGTGGAAGTTGTCCACGGTTAGATCAAAATGGACAGCGAACATCACCCGCTTCTGTGCTATCACAATCAGAGCCCTCGTCTTCTACTGGGGACTCCAAAGCCTCTGGAGGCTGATGTTAGCATCATCCCCTACATCTGAACTGGGGGCTAAGTCCTCCAAAGAGTCCATGGACTCAGCGCAGCTATTAACTCATTGGGGTGAGACCTCTGAACTCTCCACAGCTATGGGACTGGGCTAGCGTCTCCATACCTCACGGGAATGGAGGCTCCAGTTTGAGGGGAGACAGGTCCCATTTAAAGGGGACTTCTTGCCTGCCAGCCTGAATGCTCAAACCTGGCCAGCAAGTGGGGCAAGTCCATGTTCATGCCCAAGACAATGGGTACTGCTGAGCTCACTGGGCAGCAAGTGACCACGACTCCCACCTGGTCTTCTATTTGTATCCTCATCCAGGTGATGCCTTCCACTAAGAAGGCAGGTTGTTTGCAGCATTTAGGGACAGCCAAGAGGGTTCCAGTTGGTCTCTATTCTTGACTCCTTGAGCGTAGAAGTACTCCATGGCGGTCACTTCAGACCCTGTGTCAGTCAAGCCAGGGTCCTCTTATCCATTGACTAGGGAATGCCCAGTGGACTTGGTGCAACCATAGTGTCCAAACCCTACATTGCCTACAGGGTGTGAAGGACAGCACAGAAAGAAAAAAGAAGGGAAGGGAGAAGAGACCAGAAAATAAATGAACAGAAGGGAGAAGACTGGAGGAGGAGGGAAGAGAGGATAGGAGAAGTGAAAAGGGAAGGATATAGGATAGGAGGGAAGGAGAAGAGGTTGGGGAAGAGAATGAAGAAGAAATGGAGAGGGATAATGAATGAAACATGTTATTGTAATATACTGTATATAAATCTAAAAAAAAAATTCCATTTCATATTTTAGGTGATTGAAGCGCTAAAAGAAGTTTTCCAGAAAAACTCCAACTCAAACAGTCTGGTAAGGAAGATCACAAACCAGAATCTTCTAACGGCAGATCCCATTTCTTCTTACAATGTTCTATGGAGATTATTACAATTGAATGGTATTGTTAAAGTGAAAAACAAATGAACTCTCAGCAGACTTTATTATCAATCACTAAGATTCATCAGTAGCATATCATTGCAGTATTGGGATAAGGTCCACTGGCAACCAGGAAAGGATGCCAAAGCTCTATAATTTTGTGCTACAAAAACTAACATGAATTTAAAATGGTACAGAAAAAAAAAAAATCGTAGGGAAGAAATAAAGAAGTAAATAAAGACAATGGTTAGGATTAAGGATAAGGGTTAAATACAATTCCAAGTACAGATTTGTGGGTTAAAAAACAAATTAAGGTTTACAAATTTTCTTCTCGATGTTGTCCCTTTTATGAAAGGCACTAGGATCATATTTCTGGTACAAAGCATTTTTTTTTTTACATTTGGTGCTAGAGACATAAACAAATGCAATTGTAAAATTATTAGGTATTTAAAAAAAAAACAAACAAAAACAGCAAGGCCAAAAATGCTATTGAAAGAAGGGAATAATGGAGTTTTATAAAAACTAATTAGAAGCCAAATTTACCTTTATAAAATTCAGTTTTATTTCAGATAAAAAACTGCACCCAACAAAAAATTGTAAAGCATTGCACCCACAATCAGCAGATTGCGACTGCAATGTCATGCTCATGTGAACTGCCAGCAGAGCTGTCTGCCTATAATTCCAATACGAACAGGCAGTTACTAAAGTCCAGGAAGATCAATGAACTACGAGCGTGCCTACTAGCACCCTTGTAGTTCATTGAGAATCTACAAGCTGTCTGCTTCAATAGGTGAAGGTAGTTGTAGTTCATTAATTACAGAACTCCCTGCGTTTTTTGAATTGTGACAACGGGTGTACAGAGTGGGCAGTTGTCACACTGACAGCGGAGTGGAGTACCGCACAGGGCAGCCATCAGAAATTTTAGGGCCCCTTACACAGCTTTAGGCCTGGGCCTTCCCCCCGGGCCTGACCCGCCCACTGGCCATGCCACCAAATCCACACACTGGCCCTCCCACCGAATCTCATCCCATGTCATCCTCCTTCTCCATCCCATGTCCTCCTCCAGTCCCATCTCCCCATCCGACGTCCTCCTCCTGCAGACCCATCTCCTCCATCCCATGTCCTTTTCTTCCTTCATTTCTATCTCCTCAATCCCACGTCCTTCTTCTCCTCCAGTTCCATCTCCTTCATCCCATGTCCTCCTCCTCTTCTATCCCATGTTTTTCTCCTCCTCCAGTCCCATCTCATTCATCCCATGTCCTCCTCAAAATTCCAATCCCATCTCCTCTATCCCATGTCCTCCTCCTCCTGCAGTCCCATCTCCTCCATCCCATGTCCACCTCCAGGCCCTTCTCCTCCATCCCATGTCCTTCTCCTACAATCCCATCTCCTCCATCCCCTGTCCTCCTTCTCCTCCAGTCCCATCTCCTCCATCCCATGTCCTCCACCTGCAGTCCCATCTCCTCCATCTCACATCCTCCTCCTCCTGCAGTCACATCCCCTCCATCCCACGTCCTCCACCTCTAAGCTCCAGGTGGGGGGATGCGGGACAGGTGGGGGGCAGTGGAGCAAGAGGGGGCAGCAGGACAGGAGGAGGCAGGGACATGAGGGGGATAGATGGGGGGCAGCAAGACTAAAGAAAGGCAGCGGGACAGGAGGGGGCAGCAAGAGATGAGGGAGTGTCACAGGGGGTAGCAGGACAAGTGGAAGGCAGCATCACAGGAAAGGGGCAGCGGGACAGGTGGGGGCAGTGTCATTCTGATCACAAACACCTTAGGAAGCACCAGTCCTCCCATCTCTCAGCTGTACTGCAGTAGCTCCTTCACATGGTGCACGTGGAGAGGATCTGATGCCAGGCTGGTAGCGGAGTATGTGTCCCATCTCCACTGTGACCTTCCTGTACAGGGCCCTCCACCAGCATCTCCTGGCCTGACCAACCCCGTATAGCAGGATGCACACTGCCATTCCTGACCAGATCCTACCTGACAGGCCCGACCCCCCCCCCTGCACTCACAGGGGATCCGCCCCCCAACCCACACTCCCCTTACATGACCCTTACATTAGAGTCTGCAGAGCCCCCCTAACATCAGAGTCTGCAGAGCGCCCCCCTACATTAGAGTCTCAGTCCAAGCTACCTCTGACACTTATATCCCAAAAGCACACAGTCACCAGGAATCAGTTCAGGGTCATTACTCACAAGTCTTCAGGATAGCTGCACACCTTTTAGCTTCCTTTGGACATAGTCCACTGAGGGAGACAATCCTTCTCCAGACCCGATAACTTCTGGTGAAGTCTCGCAACTAGCTCCTTAGCAGATCACTTCAGGTCCTCAGCTACACAGTCCACAGGTTACCTCAGAGAAGCCCTCCCAAAGGCTTGGAAGCCTCCTGGAGAGAGAGAATAATCTCTCCAGAGCGTCAGACTACTTATCACCTCCCAGCCGCCTTCTGGACACTCCTCTCCAGAGATTGGCCAGGCCATGATAAATATTCAGGCTGGTCATTTAAATCTCCCTTCCTACGTTCAGAATGCTTCTTCCAGTGGCAGGGAAAGCAATCAAACTCCCAGCCCGTGAAACTCTGAAAAGCCAGACCAGAACAAACAATCACTCTCCCTAGACCACAAAAAAAAGCCAAAAATTTAATTTGCCTATCATCCATGCTAGGATGGTGCTACATCTGGGTAGGATCTTTGACATAACCTTTGGAAACAAAATAAAAGTATTGAATGATAGTTTTTTTTTCTTAATTAACCACCTCCCGTCCGCCATACAAGAAAATGAGGGGCGCAAGGCGGTTCTCTCGTTCTGGGAAGACGACATACTCCTCCACCACTGGAGGCACACAGCGCTGTGATCATTGGTGTGCTGTGGCCCAGGGACACCGAAGATGTCAGCTCTGTCATGTGATCAGCTGTGTCCAATCACGGCTGTCGGCATTTCTCTCCTCATGAGCTGTCACGCTGACAGAGGAGAGGAGAGCCGGTAATCAGCATTATTCAGAGGGGACATGTACACAGATCATCAGGGCACTGATCATCAGAGTGCCCTGATGATGAGTGTAGCCCCATCAGTGCCACCTGTCAGTGTCCATCAATGCCACCTGCCAGTGCCCATCAGTGCCACATATCAGTGCCTACCAGTGCACATCAATGCCACATATCAGTGCCCATCTGTGCTGCCTTTCAGTACCAACTATCAGTGACAGTCAGTGCCACCTATCAATGCCAGTCAGTGCCGCCTATCAGTGCTGCCAATCAGTGCGCCTAACAGTGCCAGTCAGTGCCACCCAACAGTACCAGTCAGTGCCACCTAACAGTGCCAGCCAGTGCCGCCTATCAGTGCCATATATTAGTGCTGCCTTTCAGTGCCCATCAGTGATGCCTGTCAATGCCCATCAGTGCCACCTACCAATTCCTCCTCATCAGTGCCCATCACTGCAGCCTCATTAGCGCACATCAGTGAAGGAGAAAAATCACTTATTTACAAAATTTTATAACAGAAACAAAGAAAAAACTTTTATTTTCAAAATTTTCAGTTGGTTTTGCTTTGTTTAGCAAAAAATAAAAAACCCCGAGGTGATTAAATACCACCAAAAGAAAGCTCTATCTGTCTCATAAAATTATAAAAATGTCATTGTTGCATGACCGCGCAATTGTCGTTCAAAGTGCGACAGCGCTGAAAGCTTAAAATTGGCCTGGGCAGGAAGGGGGTATAAGTGCCCTGTAGCCAAGTGGTTAAAATCTGTACAGCAACATGTTAAGGGGTTAGTACCACCAAATGGGGCTTGCTATCCATACACTCATTATATGTTTTGTTGACCGATAACTGATTTTTTCTTTTTTAAGGGAGAAACAATGACCAGCACTACCTGAAGCCACTTATATACGGTGTGTAACGCTTGATCGATTTTACATCTTTAACCACTCGCCTAACAGAACAATTGTTTTCATTTTTCACTTACATGTTAAAATTAGCATCTTTTTGGTAGTAGACAATTGCTTAGAGCCCCCCAAACATTCCATATTTTCTGAGAGAAGAGACCATGGAGAATAAAATTATGGCCTGTTGAAATTTTGTTATGTCACATGATATTTGTGCAGCCATTTATCAAATGCAAAAATTCACTTAAATTATTTTAGTGTACACAAACACAGTATAATACCCATTTATTTTGTAAAATATAAAATATGATGGTTTGTCGAGTAAATAGACACCAAACATGTCAAGATTTAAATTGTACACATGTGAAATGGTAACAAACTATGGTACCTAAAACTGTTGATAGGCAACACTTTAAAAACCTCTAAAGGTTATCGATTTAGAGTTGACTGTGAGCTACATCACTAGAAACATTGCTGTCACTCAGAAGTTCATGGCGATACCACAAGTATGGTGCAATTGCAGTTTACATGTGCTTTTAATTTATTTTTATTACTTTTATTTATTATATTTACATTTTTTTACACTTTTTAATATTTGTGTTCATGTAATGTTATTGCTATCACAAGCGGTGAGCAAGCCCCTTGTGATATCTTCGGGCAGTGACAGTTATTCTTTTTTTTGAGACATCAGGGGGTTTATTTACTAAAGCTGGAGAGTCCAAAATCAGACTCCCTTCTGCATAGAAACCAATCAGCTTCCAGGTTTCATTGCCAAAGCTTCATTGAACAAGCTGAGGTTAGAAGCTGATTGGTTTCTATGCAGAAGGGAGTCTGATTTTGGACTCTCCAGCTTTAGTAAATAAACCCCCAGGTGTCTATGAGACCCCCCATATCTCCCTGCCATTCAAAGGGAAGGGGAGATCAGATGTGTTTGATCAGATGCTTCTCTGGTTGTTCCAACCAATGAAAGCCATCATGTGACAAAATCCTTACCACTTCAAGCTTCTTTAGTCACAGAGGAGATTGTGGAATGGATGTTCCTCCATCTCCCCTGTAGGCAGCCGATCTGACTGCTGGGCTGAATGGTCCTTGGCTACTCCGTGCAGGAACGGTGGCAGGAGGGGGCCCCTTCCGACCCCTGTAAAAGTGATCAGGCCGCTGTAAAGTTGCTCGGATGACTTTTACTGGAAAGATGATCGCCAGCTGAAAAATATGATGCCAGGATCCTGGCTTCAGTTGCTTTGAGAGAAATATAGCACCTGCCAATACTGGACTTTTACTGTGAAAATGCTAGATGCCTGGCTGCTATTTTTGGTCAGTAATTTAAAGTAGATAAGAATTGTCTTTAACTGTCTCAATCAGCCTACTTGGTCTTGGTCAGTGACTGAATGTTTTGTAGAAAAAAGCCAGGAAACTAGCATTCTCAAAAGTAGGTCAGCAATGGCAGTAGCCTCCTTCCCCCACCTGCTTCTCATTTAGCGTGTAGAGTAAATTCCAGATACATCTTGGTATGGAGAAATGGAGAAACATGTGACCCCCCCTTCCCATCCCCTTCTCATGGGACAGTGTTGGTGCTCAGTGATTGGCCAGCATTGTTACATGGGGACAGAAAGCGTCCTCAGCCTTGTGTAAGCTCCAGTTTAATCGACTTAGAGCTTACACGGGGCTATCTTTCTTCACTGTTAACAGCTGGATGGAGCAGTGGAGGAATAAAGGAAAGGTGACTGGGTGAAGCTGGATAGGAAGGAATTAAAGAGAACCTGTTGCTTTTTTAGGTATCAGCAAAGCACAGGTTTGTGTTAAAACATGGTCTGATAGCTTTATAGACTATTCCTTTTAAAGCGACAGAAAAAAGTAACAAATGTAGGTATTCATAAAATCAAATAGTACATTTTAACCTGCCTTTTTTTCCTTCTAGTTGTCTATAGGAATCCTGACTGCACTGCCTGTCATACAGATATCCCCAGGAGACTGCAGCAAATATAATACAATCGTGAATATATGGAGCAACAAGTAACAACTGAGTGAAAAAAAAAGGAAAATATTTACTCATATCCCAAGGATTTTGCAAAAAAATGCCTTTTATAATTTCCAGGGCCATTTCTGGACTACTGGGATAAATTAACCAAGAACAAAATCTTGAGAGATATTCTTATGTTACTTAGAGTGAACAATACAACTCTTCACATAAATGTGTAAAATATATTTACAGATCTCAGGTACCTTAGTATAGTACCAATAACAAAGCTTTTAAATCTTCAGCCAAGTACAGTTACTCTATGGGGCAACTGCCCTCCTTTTTAACTCCTCACTAGACCTCACTTCCTTCTCTATCCCTTTCTTCTTCCTCACCTTCTGTATATTTTCCTCGTACTCCTTCCCATGAATTCCTCCTCCCCGTGCTTTTCACCTCTCCATATCTTCTCTTCTTCCATCCCATACCTTTCGTCTTTCCATGTGCTCCTTCTTCCAATGCTTTCCTGCTTCCATGTCTTCCTCCTTCCTATGAGATTCCTCTATCCATGTCTTCCTCCTGCCCATGCTTTTCACCTCTCCATATGTTTTTTCATTACAAGTTTTCCTTCTTCTAATAGTTCTCTCGTTCCCATTCCTTCCTTCTACCCTTGTCTTCCTCCTTCCCATACCTTCCCTCTATCCATGTCTTCCTCCTCCCCATGCTTATCACCTTCCATATGTTCTTTCATCCCATGTTTTCCTCCTTCCCATGACTTCCTCGTTCCCATTCCTTCCTTCAACCTTTGCCTTCCTTCTTCCCTTGCCTTCCTCTTTGCCATGCCTTCCTCCTTCCAATGTCTTCCTCCTTCCAATGTCTTTCTCCTTTGCATGTCTTCCTCCTTGCTATTACTTCTACTTCCATGTCTTCTTTCGATCCATGTCTTCCTCCTCCCCATGCCTTCCCTCTATCCATGTCTTCCTCCTTCCCATGTCTTCCCTCTATCCATGTCTTCCTCCTCCCCATGCTTTTAACCTCCCATATGTTCTTTCATCCCATGTTTTCCTCCTTCCCATGGCTTCCTCATTCCCATTCCTTCCTTTAACCTTTGCCTTCCTCCTGCCCATGCCTTCCTCTTTGCCATGTCTTCCTCCTTTGCATGTATTCCGCCTTTCTATGACTTCTCCTTTCCATGTTTTCTTTTGATTCATGTCTTCCTCCTTCCCATGCCTTCTCCTTCCATGTCTTTTTTTGGTCCATGTTTTCTTCACATGCTTCCTCTTTCACATGCCTTCCACCAGGGTGTAGGAAATGGTGAGAGAGGAAACAGAAGAGAGTATGTTGGCTCAGGGTGCTGGCTAGGATCAGGAGACAAGCACACCTCCATTACCAAGTATTCTTTTAATGATCCATAGTGCCTAAAATGAAACACCTGTAGCTACTGACATTTTGATTCAGAACTGCTGTTTAATTATACAGTATAAACTGAAGCTTGACTTCATCCTCTTGTGCCTGACACTATCATGCAAATTCCGGGCAAAACATTTATTCTTATGATGCGAACATTAATTCAGGAAAGAGTAGAGGAGGGGGTCTCTGTTTATGTTCTTAATGATTGGTGTACAGACAGTAAAGTTTTAGATAACTACTGCTCTCCAGATTTAGAACTTGTTGGTTAAGTGCAGACTGATTTGCATACCAAGAGAATTCACAGTTGCAGTTATTCCCGTAGTTAATATACCGCCAGATGCAAACATTGCAATGGCTTTGGTCACATTATGAAAAGTGATAAGCAAATCTCAACACGTTTATCCTGATGGGGTTCTTGCTGGAGATTTGAAGCAAGCGAATGTAAAATCCGTGCCCCCACAACTTTCAGTTTGTGAAGTGTGCTACAGGAAGAGAAAACATGTTGGATAAGTTTTATTCCAACATTAAGCAAGCTGTAACATGGGGGATGTTTAGCTCAGCGGTAGCTGCGTTTGCAAGTGAGTTCATGCCAGTCAGGAGCTATATTTCAGGGCTTGGTAGCCCACTTTTATTAAAAGGAAAAGGCAAAAACAAAAGTGCAATAAAAGGTTTCCCACACAGGGGTTTTCTCCAGAAAAGTATACACAGTCCAAATGAAAATACTAGCCCACCTGTATACTCTTCAGCAGCACTGCTGCTATAGACACTGGTCCTTCCAACCACCAGCTCTTCCAGGCACACAACTTAGAGCTTCTTAATGCACACAGCCTTGAGCTCCTTAATGCACACAGCCTTGAGCTCCTTAATGCACACAGCCTTGAGCTCCTTAACACACACAGCCTTGAGCTCCTTAATGCACACAGCCTTGAGCTCCTTAACACACACACAGCCTTGAGCTCCTTAATGCACACAGCCTTGAGCTCCTTAACACACACAGCCTTGAGCTCCTTAATGCACACAGCCTTGAGCTCCTTAACACACACAGCCTTGAGCTCCTTAACACACACA